TAGGAGGCTAAAGATAGCTCAAGCCCAGGAGTTTGAGAGTTTGAGGTTGCTACGATGCCATGGCACTCTAACCTGGGCAACAGAGTGAGACTCTGTCTCAAAAAAAAAGAAGAAAAGAAAAGGTGGTGCCTGTGGCTCAGTGAGTAGGGCGCTGGCCCCATATACTGAGGCTGGCAGGTTTGAACTCAGCCCTGGCCAAACTGCAACAAAAGAATAGCCGGGCATTGTGATGGGCACCTATACTCCCAGCTTCTCAGAAGGCTGAGGCAAGAGAATCACTTAAGCCCAGGAGTTGGAGGTTGCTGTGAGCTGTGATGCTATGGCACTCTACCGAGGGTGACAAAGTAAGACTCTGTCTCTAACAAAAAAAGAATAAAAAATAAAAAATAAAAAAAGAATAGTATGGGAGCCATGTGGAGATGGCAGATGGCATGTGAGTCCCTGAGGTTTGGGAAGAGCATTGTAGAGAAGTTCCGAGATGAGTAAAGGGAAGAGTTCATGGAAGAGTCAGGTGCGATGGGTAAGGAATAGGACCCAGCTAGGTGGAGAGAGGAGGGTGAGTCTGGACTTTCTGGTCCAGAAATGTGGCTGTGCATCCTAGTGTGATCCATTTTGGTAGCAACAAATGAGTCCTGTAGGACTGAGGTCCCCAACCCCTGGGCTGCAAACCAGGACCAGTCTGTGGCCTGTCAGGAAAATGGGCTGCACAGCAGATAAGCAGTGAGCAAGTAAGCAAGCAAAGCTTCTTCTGTATTTACAGCCGTTCCCGCTTGCTCAAATCACCACCTGAGCTCTACCTCTTGTCAGATCCCTCCCACCCCCACTGGTCCATGGAAAAATTGTCTTCCTTGAAACCAGTTTGTGGTTCTAAAAAGGTTGGGGACTGCTGCTGTAAGGAATGGAAGATTGGTTTGAACATATTGTAGAGGACCATCAATCTCATGGTATGGACTCTGGACTGAATTCAGGAGGCAATGGGAGCCACTGAAGGTGCTTGAGGAAGGGAGTGGTTGTTGATGGTCCTTGAAGAGTCTCTTTTATTCGTGTTGGGTACCAGGATGACCAACCCAGCCACACAGGCTGTCTCCTGCTGCTTTGTGAGCAGCCTAGAGAAGTTGGAGAGAGGTAGGTGTGAGGCGGACAGCCATGCCTTGGTCTCTTTGTGGGGAGGTAGTGAGGCTGGGGAGGGGTGCGGGTCAGAGGTTGCGCGCAGAGGCCTAGAAAGGGAGGGGCCTACTTTTCCTGTCTGGGCTGTGAGGGGATGGGATGGGCCACCCTGTGGCCTGATCTTGATGTCTCCTGGCCTAGCACGGAATGTTCTGGAGTGTTCTCTGGGAAGTGGGTGGCGTCAGCTGAAGGAAGCCCCTCTCTGAGTTCTTGCAGGAGGAGGAAGCATGCAGTTTCCTGCCCTATGGTTTGGCCCAGCAGCCTTGGCTGATAGCCCCAGGCCAAGATTTCATCCATCTGCAGAGCCTGTAGGCATCTGGGTCACTTTATTTTTTTTGGAACTCTCCCGTTTCTCCCTTCTGGTATGGAGAAGTTCTCTAGCAGTTCAGAGACCAGCTTGGTTTAAGAGACAGATTTTGTTTTGTTTTATTTTGTTTCCCTTTGAGGGTCTACTATCTGCCAGATACTGTGTTTGGAATTTTTACTCTGTTATCAGAAAATTCACTCTGGGCAAAACCTGTCTAGGAAGGCATTATTTATTACCTCTGTCACACAAAGGAGGACACCGAGTATGGGGGAATTTAACAAGTCCCAAATTATACAGGTGGTCAGCCCTGGAATCTGATCCCAAACTCACACCTTGTGTTGTCTGTGGCATCGAGACTGCAGGCAAAACGTGTAACTGGAAAAACTACATCACCCTGATGCTGCCCTGCAGTGTGGGGGGCACATCTGTAAAAAGGGAGTGCTGACAATATTCTTCAGCATTGTGGCAGGGAGACCGCGAGTTACGATACAAATAAGGCGTTATGTGTCGGCTCCTGCTACTTTCATTACAGGAAACTAGAGTTTGTGCAATCCTGAACTTCAGTTTTCCTGGAAGACGTTTTTGGGAGAATTGTCACTTAGGGCAGGGAAGAAGT